GCCCCCGCGGCGGCGGGGGGGGGGGAGGGGCGGCCCTGGGGGTGGGGGAGCCGACGGGGCGGGGGAGAGCCCCAAAGGGAAGGCGAGGTGTGGGGCAGAAGGGGTTTGGGGCTGGCAGGGATGGGCTCAGGTAGGATGAGGAGGGTCCTGGGCAGCCAGTCAAGAGCGTCCCTCTCCCAGTCCAGCCCAGGCTGGTCAGAGCTGCAGAGGGCCTCACAACTCGGTGAAGGTTGGGGCTGGGCTTCCTGTTGGCATGCTGCTCTTCTCTTCCAGATGCTCTGGGCAGGGCTGGAGATTGAGGCCAACATGACGGTCCGGCTGCGGGATGAAGAGCTGGCCTCCCTGCGCCCAGCACGGCGGTTCCTCCAGATTTTGGTGGATGAAGTTCCCAAAACACCGACACAGATTGAGCAGCAACTGAGATATTATTCGCTGACTGATACCCCTTTACCTCTAAGGGAGTTTGACCGTCTCCTTTTCACCAGTGTTTACTGTGCCTATCAGATTCGCTCCATTCAGGGTCTGGATAAAAATCTCTGGATCAGTCTTTTCTCACAGCTAGTTGATGAAATCTTTCGCGATCTCTGCAAGGGGTTTTGCCCTGCAGATTCCACCCTCCTTCTGGCTTCCTGGCCCTGGAAGGAGAAGCCTCTCCATTTAGCATCGCTAAAGCAGTTCTATCACTCCAACCTGGCTGGGACCAAGAGAGACACTTAGTAAGAGAAACTGCCCTAGCAAAGGACACACCTGAGTTCAGCTGCAAGCTCGGTTGTTTTCAATGCAGGCAATCATTCCACATGATGCAGGATGCTGTGCCAGTGCACCACCCCGTCTTTGTACTGCTTTCTGCATTGTGCTGCCAACCTTCTAGGGATATATCCACAAGCTGTCATTTTTAAATGAAATAGGACAAATCTGCAAAGTGTATTTCACCCTTTCATCTGTGCTGTTGAAGTGGGCTATGCTGAGGAGGCCGGGTTCTTTAGAAGTGTTACCTAGCTCGATCCCTGATGCTTAATGGCTGCGGGGCGGGGGGGGGGGAGGGGGGTCCTGGCATTGTTTTTTCCAGGGTGTTAGCACTGGCGTACCAGCTGAATTCATCCTCGGTAATTTAGTTTTGCCTCCTTATAGTCTTTCTGTGGTTTCAGCTGAAGACAGTATTTTCTCTTCTCGCCGGGAACTGAGTAGATGCTGTTGTGTTTCACCATAAAGGTGATGCATTTAATTTCAGATTTCTGCTCGTGTGGTATCACATTTTATATGTCTACAGTCATTTCTCATATTGTGTATTCATTTTCCTTAACCAAAAACAAACAACTCCCCACACTCACACCCCCAAATATACGTATTCCGTGAAGCTTTCTGGTATACATATATCACATTTGCATATGTATACTGCTTGTATCAGTTATAATTTTGGAATACACTTCCTTATATCTCATTTAAATTCCTAAGGATCATGACCTAGTTATTGCTTCAGCAGATTTTACCTCTTCTGTGAAATCTTTCTGTTCAGCTATGGCACTTTACAAGCTAAGTATAATAAATACACAATCTCTGTCCTCAAAACCAGGAACGTAATTATTTTGTAGAAAGAGAGCATTTACATTTCTCTGTCTTACACACTGTAGTGTAGAATTAAGTGAATGTAATTAACTACCCAGGAGAGTTTTGATTTTTCATTTGTTTCTACTGGGTTTCCTGCTGCCATCATAGGTGCATTAAATTTGAACATCCATTCCCTGCACTTAGGTGGGAGCCATAATTCCCTTTGAGTCAATATGCTTTTAATTTGTCACGCTCAGCAAAAGAGAAATGTGTGGCATTCAAAGTGAGAACTGCTACCTTTTGACCTAGTTTATTTTTCTCCATGCCATGGTTACCCAACAGATGGAGAGGTGAGACAGCGAGATGGGAATGAGAAGCCTGGAAGCAAGGTGTCATAGAGAATGGTTTTAGAGGTCAGATTAGAGCTATAACTGGAGAAGATGGATTTGTACCGTTTATAAGGCATATTTTTTTCCAAAGGATGTAGGAATTAAGATTTATGTCTTATTTAAATTCTAACTTCAAGACAGCTAAGGTCTTCCAGTTTTATGCTTTTTTTTTTGTACACATTCAGTTTCCACCCTTCATGCTTTATCTGAATATGTTCTCAGTCTTTAATGTCTAGGACATGCAGAAGCGATGGAAGCAGGGAGTGGCTGCAAACAAGTTCAGTTTGAGAAGAGAACTTGACTAAAAGGCTGGGTTGGGATGGCACCAGTTCATGAAAATATTGTCTTGCTAGAGAACATAAAGTCTGAGCTATGTGAATGTCTGGATAAAGGTGAGGCTTTGGCTTCATGACTCAGATACAAATGTACTGCTTTGAATTCAGGATTTCATTAGGGTCCATTTAGTTCATAGAATTGGTCCTTACTCCTTTACAAGGGCTAGAAGTGTATATTTTGTTTGTTTTTAAATTTACTATTATTTTCATTAAATGGAAGCTGAGATTCTCAAACACAGCTTCTTGACTTCAGCAACTTCAGATTAAGAAAAACCCCAAGTATTTTGAAATTTGCAATAAAATCATAAGAAGTACCAACACTTCACACACACAGCTGATCCTGCATAGAATACACAGACAGACTGGCTCCATAACACATACCACAGCTCGTACAATCGCCGTGTTTCTTTCTCTCCTGAATTGGTACCTCAGGCATTTACAAGCACACAGGTCTCACAGGTAATAACAAAGCCAAATCTCAGCAAATCTTACATCTTTTCTTTGTATTTTATTACATTCATTTGCATTACATTTGTTCCCTCCCCAGATATGCAAAGAACATCTTTTGCTTTCTGGATGCTAGGGATCTGCAGTAACATTACTGCAGTGGCTCTCTGACCCTCAGCATCTCACTACACTGCCCCACCCCTGCCCTAAAACTACCTCATGCTTTATGCTTAAATCAAACACTAACACGGGACACACACATACATCCTGAAAAGACCTTTCTATGGATGAATGACAGACACTGCAATGGCCCTGCAGCCAGGGCACAAGCGCGCGGCATAAGGAAAGCACTGGACACATATCAGCATGCTCAAAGTAGAGGATGATACCTGAACAGGAGCTACACACAAGTCCATGGCACCTTGGCTTCTCTTAATGCTCCCATCACACCTGCATTTAATTTTCTGACCCTTGGGGTGAGCTGGCACCCAGAAGCTGCTTTGACTGAGCCTCTGAATAGATCAGGAAGCCTGTGAAGGTGATGTACTTGCCATGGTTGCTGTAGGCACCATAGCCATCATGCTGATGGCTATAGAGCCACACAGTGTCCCCATATTGCAGGGGCAGCATGATACTCTGGCTCTGCATCTCTCGCCTCTTGGAGTGGTTGTCATCATAGATCATGGCCTGCACCTCATTGTGGTTCTTCATAAGTTTCACCGACATGGTCTTAAAGGGCATTTTACCAATGGTGAAGGAGAAATAATATGCACCAGGTATACGACATGAGAAGATGCCACTAGAAGAATTGAAATCTTTTCCAATATTCACAAACTCTGTGTCAAATGTGATTGGTTCGTGCTGGGTTTGCTTGTCATCTGTCCCCAGGAGACTTTGCGAGCGAGCAACAGAAAATGCAGAGCGAGGGTCTTGTTCCCTCTTTGGCTGATCAGATAACATGTGTCGCTGTGAAGCCTCATTCTGCTCTCCTGGAAGTTGCTGAATGGTGTGATGGGGTGGCCCCAGCTCCTGAGAGCTCAGAGCATTCTGGAAGAAGGCAGACGTGTCTGGATAGATTAGATAGCCATTGAAAGTTGTATAGGGGCCCACATTGCTGTAAAGAGCATACTTGGGGTCTCCGTGTAAACGCAGCCACACTGTGTCACCGTAGTCAAGCTGCAGCATGGCACTCTGGCTGGCTACCTTCCGTTCCTTGCGGTGATGTTCATCGTACACAATCACCTGCACCTCATTCTTGTTTCTCATCAGCATAACAGACAAGTTTTTCTTCGGGTATTTCCCAACAGTGAAGGAGAAGTAATAGGCTCCAGGGATCCGACACCGGAATAACCCAGTTTTCGGATCAAAGTCATTGCCAATGTTCACATACACTTTGTCAAATGTAATGACCATTTCAGAGCTTCCTTCCATGCTGCTGGTTCTGGCTACAGAGAAAGCAGAGCGGAACTCAGTACTTGTGTCTGCTGGGAAGCCATCTGCAGGCAGAAAAAGCACACACCAGAGGAGGCCAAACAGCAGCTGAACCTTCAGGGTCATCATTGTATCTGAAAGGAAAAAGAAGCACATTTTACCAGGAATCTCATTAATTTCCAGCTCATACACCAGCTGAGACCCAGACCTGACTCTTGCAAAATAGACATCAAGGTCTATGTCCAGTACTGAGAGGTCTCCAGTGCATTCTCTGATCTGTGTCTGGGACCATATCTCAGTTCAGATCCCAGCACCTTTTGAAATTTCCCCAGTAATAACTGGACCTTTTTGTCGCGTACTCATTGGAAGAAAGACAATCTTCTCCTTTGACACCCTGGCTATCTTACAGCTTTTCAGCAAAGAACTGCATTGCTCACAATGCAGAAGGATCTCACAGCTTGCTGGGGTTTTGCCAGAGCTCCCTTTTGTAATGCTTTTGTTCATAGGACGAAGGAAGAAACAAAGCCCTACACAGAACCTGCATTATGCAACTGAGATGCAGCTGAAGGGCAGGGAGAAGAGGACATATGCTCCAGAGATTCCCATGCAGATGTCACCGCCTGGCACTGCACTAGCTTTCACACGGTGTAGAAGCTGGAAGCCAATAAAGTTGGTAGGCCCCTTTATTCAGACAGACTGACGGGTTTTAACCAGCTTCACTGTGAATCTGTGAAGGGTGTAGAGAAGCTGTGGGAAGAGGGATTGTTTAGGGAGGAAGGATGAAAATGGAGAAAGTAAATGAAATGAAAAAAATAAGGAAAATAAAAGGTAGAGAAAAGGCAAGTCTCCCAAAGTACAGTATCACAGAGAGGGGACTGAAATACTAGAAATGGGGAAACAATTTGCTATTTGAAGAGTAGATCAAAGAGAAAAATCTTCTTTGACCCTTAAAAAGGGGGGCTACATTAGGAGCTACTGGGATTTTTTGCCTCTAGTTTCTGTGATTTTCTGGAGTGAGGCCAAAAATCATCTATTAGCGCTTTCAAGCTGAAAACAAAACTGCCAGTCATTCCAGTGAGAAGCTTCTCTCTCTGTCACCTCTCTGTGCTTATTAAAATATCATTCAGGCTGGGAGGCGACTGCCTGGTTTGCAGTCTGCCCCATCTGTCACCCTAGAACTGGTGCCTTGCCAGACAGCAAACAATGAATTCACAGGCCAGCAGAACAGGAGTAAAACATGTTACTTATTGGGGGGGAGGGGTGAAGATAAATCCTGAATTATAAAGGATAAAGATAAAGGGATAAGCATTTGAAACAACTGAGATGACCTAGTAACAGAAGTAAAGCAGATGGAATCCACACAGACTGTGAGATGGCAATGGGACTCCACTTTGGCAAGATGTGCTAACTAAAAAAACACATTAGCAGGAATTCAGTTTGACCTACAGTCCTTGCTCCTTCATACTTGAGAATAAAACTGAAATCTGAAACAAGAATGAATTAAATTCTCATCTAATTACATGAAAAGGACATACCAGCAAAGACAAAAAGAAATATCCATCCATGTCCTGAACAAACATCTCACAAACATCTCAGTATTTTCCTCCCTGCCCCTGAGATGCTTTTCCTAACTTAAAATGTTTCCCCTGAACACATCCATTGGACCTCACAGGCTGCACTGAAGGGTGCTGAGAGAGCTAGCCAATACCATAGGAGGCCACTGCATCATCTTTGAAGGGCTGTGGAGATCAAAAGAGGTGCCTGATGACTGGAGAAAGGCAAATGTTGCACCATCTTCAGAAAGGACAAGCAAGACAATCTGAGGAACTAACAGCCACTTAGCCTCAATTTGGGCCCTGGAAATATCATGGAGCAGGTCTTGGTACATCCAAGACTGGGATCCAGTAAGGGACGCAAAGATAATTAAGGGACTGGGACCAATCAGCATGGATTGCCCAAGGGTAAATCATACCTAACCAAACTGATTACCTTCTATGATAAAATGACTGTATCTGTGGATGAGAAAAGAGCTGTGGAGGCCATTTACCCTTTAGCAAGGCTTTTGATACAGTCCTCCAAAGCATTCCTGTATCCAAGTTAGGATGTTACAATCTAGGTAGGTGGTCTACTAGATGGGTGAAAAACTGGCTCGGTGGTCAGGCTCAAAGGGACATGGTTAACCATTTGTTTTAGATATCCTCTTTAATATTTTTTATCAGTGACCTGAAGGAGGAGACAGAATGGCTGTTTGTTAGTGTTAGATGACACCAAACTGCGGCAAGGGAGAGGAGACAGTCAACAAACTTGGGGCTACAGCTGCTATTCAGAGGGACCTAGACAGGCTGGAAGAACAGGCCAACAGAAACTATGAAATTCATCAAGGACAAATGCAAAGCCTTACACCTTGGATGGACTCACCCTCTGCGCTGATACAGGCTGGGGACTGACAGGCTGGGGAGCAGCTCTGTTGAAAAGGACCTGGGGGTCCTAGGGAACAATGGGTTATATATGAGTTAGTGGTGTGCCATGGAAGTGATGTAGGCTAACAACTCACCGGGCTGTATCAACCAAGTTTAGCCAGTAAACCAAGGGAAGTAATTATTCCCCTTTACTCAGCGTTCATTAGACCACACCTGGAATGCTGCATCTAATTTTAGACCTCCCGCACACAAGAAAGTGGATATACTTGAGTGAGTCCACAGGAAGGCCAACAAGATGGTTGTGGGCTGCAGTACTTGCCCTGTGCAGAAAGGTTGAGGAAACTAGGCTTGTTTAGCCCTAGGAGGAGAAGGCTTCAGGGGGACGTATTAGTAGCTTTCCAGTATGAGGAGGTCACTGACAAGACAGGGCCAGGCTCTTTACTGAGGCATATGGTGGGAGGACAAGGGACAGTAGTCAAAAATGAAAGAGAAGGTTCAGACTGGGTATAAGCAAAAAATTTTCACCGCAAAGATAACGAAACATTGGAACAAGTTTGCCCAGAGAGACTGTGGAATCTCCATCCTTGGACGTTCCAAGACCAGACTGGATAAAGCCCTGAGCAGCCTGATCTGCATTCAGTGTTGGCCCTGCTTTGAACAAGAGGTTGGATTGGAGACCTCCTGAGACATGATTCCTGATTCTATAACAACTGATTCCCACAGCTTCTGCCTTCTCAGAGCTGAAAATCCACGGCACTACTAACCCCTACCCATGACACATACAGCTAAAGGCAGCTCTGAGATTACTTTTATCTAGCAAATTAATTTAAGAAAGCATTTTTAATGGAACTGTTAAGCCACGGCTAATTGCCATGCATCTGCTTTCATGCTCTTAATTTTTCCTCCCTTTGCCTTTTAGTTTGAGAGCTCCTCAGGGCAAAGATTCTGTCTTCTCCTGTGTCTGTACAGCATTTGGCCACTGTTGCAGTTTAAACAACACTAATAGGCCCTAACATCCCACCAAGAACTAAATCCCAGACAGTCACACTCTGAGCTCAGCCTCTGCTTCAGCAGAATTAGGTTTGCAGAGAG